CCAAAAAGAGAAAAAAAAACAGACCCATTACGTAAAGCCGAAGCGGAACAGTCTCAATCCCTCCCCCGCAGGCTGCAGTCACTCAAGCAAGTCACACAACAAACAACACAAGGGAAGTAATATGTTCGTGACAATGCTGTGAGTGACAACACCGAGAGAGAAGGTGAGAACAAAGAAATGTGTTTTCATTACGTGGGCGGTGCGAGTGGCAACCCAAACACACAAAGGAACACACAACAGAGGGGCACACTCAAACACCTACAACCCGCAAACCTTTATACCAAAATAAAAATGTAAAAAAAGAGTGACTGCCTGAAGCAGACACAATAATGGAGCAAAGATGTAAAAGAAAAAAAAGAAATTCATTACTTAATGTGGCTGCGATGCCTGGACACAGTCCAATCCACTTCAAGGCTAACAACGGGAAAATCATTGTGTACTGAACGTGCCGTGCCCATATCTTTATTCTTAATGTCCCTGCAGCAGTTTGTATATAATGAAAAATAAAAAAACATTCCATAAAAATGAACACACAAGATACACAAGGTGTATCGGAAACGCAAAGGAAAAACACATAGCTACACAAAACGTGCAATGAAATTATAATGAAGCACACAGAGACGAGGGAAAAATAATATAATGAAAACAAAACAAAAAGAAAGCCGTGATCACCAAGTGAATATGTTCAGGAATCAAGCAACACAATTCACAGCAGTAGGTGTGTGTGTGTGTGTGTGTGTGTCTTTCGTACAGGGCGAGCAGTGGGAATGATGCACACATGATGACAGTCCACACACACACACAAAGAGAAGGAGGGTTGGTGGTGTGTGTGTTTGTGTGTCTTGAACTTCCTGCCATTCTTCACATTTCAGTCACAGCAATTATAACACATCGGGATTGTATCTCATTCCCAATGGGTAAAAGCAACAGTTAGTAATATCACGGAGCACACACACATCACCAGGAGGACACAGTAAATGACGGCAAAACAGAGCCCAGATAATAATGCCAACAAACAAAGAGGACACTCCCCTCACAAAATGATGGTTTGTCATGTGATGAATGCTATAGGGTGCCCAATATAGATCTGTTCAGTAAAAAATGCAAACAAGAGATTCATCGTGCTGAAAAAAGAAACATTAAAACCCAATAAAAAGAACAGTGCCCTTACAATGCATCCATGCCCACTCAAACAAAGGTTAACTGTGCAGCTGTGTCATGGGAACACCGATCAGCACACGAGTGCGAAACCCAACACACACATCAGAAGAAAAAACAATATGGGACTGTGCACCAACGTAGGACAACTGCTACCGTCTTTCTTTTTCTTTTTCTCCATCTCTTCCTTTGCCTTTCTCTCCAACTCCTGCTTACCCTCGTTTTCTTTGATCTTTTTCTTCTCTTCTTCAGCTTTATTTCTCTCCTGCTCCTTTCGCCTTTCTTCAGCCGCCTTGTTTTCCTCTTCATTGGCCTTCTTTCTCTCTCGCTCCCTTTGTCTTTCTTCATGGAGGTTCCGCAACTCCCGTTCCTCCTCCCTTTTTTCCCGCTCCAAACTTTCTTTTTCGTTCTTCTTTGTCGCCGCCACCTTCTCCGTAAGTTTGGCTTTGTCAATTGTCCTCTTCGTTGTTTTATGGGGTGGGGCGGCTCCAGCAAACGCGCTCGCAGACGTTCGGCCGACTATGGCTAATCTCCTTTTCTCCACTGCTGTGTTATAATCTGCGTCCACCACCTCATCCCCAAGTGATTCCCTTATAGCCTCGACGAATTTGTCCACCTCCTTTCTGTACTCCTCAGAATCTATTTTAAATTGACTTCCCACCGCCCAGAACAGGTCACACGCCCTGATAATCCTGTTCTTCGTAGCGATTACACCATTACTTACTTCCTTCGCGCAGGCGTGGCTTCTTCGTTTGATCACTAGGAGGTGATGATAAACCTTATTCATTTCGTCATGTACTCTCTTGCTCCTCTTAATAAGCGCTTCCTGTTCCACCGATCTTTTATCTTCATCCACTCCCTCAAGCACTTCTGTATGATGTTTCCTGCTCTCGTTTTGATTCTCCAACATATCCCTCATGTTCATCATCGCGAGTGCACTTATTCGATCCAAATATCTTGCCTCTTCGACTGCATCCGCCGCCCCATTAAGCACACTCACATTTTTTTTTACCTCACCCGTAGCCTTCTTCACAAGACGTAGTAAATGGTCGCGCAAAGGATTCATCTTCGCCCTCTCGATGATGATTTCAGTAACGATTTCTTTCGTCCCACTGGCCACGTCCCTGGCATCATTGGCTCTTGAATTACAAGTCTCCACTGTGGTTCCCCATACTTCTTGATAGGCCTTTCCTTCCGCAAGATACCCCTCCGACTTGTTTACCCACTCTTTTAAAAACTGTTCTGCTTCCGAAACTCTATTGCTCGAAGATTCTTCCGCATATGTCACACACACACAGCACTGCAAAAGTACCAACAGGTACACCACGCGGCGCAGTTGGATGAACATCGTTGTCACGATTGTCGCTGTGGGTTGCTTGGATCTGTGGTAACAAGGAAGAAGAGGAAAAGGAAGAAAAGAGACGCACATTTAACAC